AGAGAGAGCTTGGTGACATTTGGATCCAGACTCGACATTGGACTTCAGACATTTTGACGAGGGATTATTTGGGACTTGTAACGAGACTTGGTGTTAACGACTTTCCCATCTCTCCCCTCCTCTTCGTCTGATCCCCTCCTCTTCGTCTGTGCGTGGCTGGACCTGGCGCCTCTTCCTGTGTATCGCGCCAGGCCCCTTCACACCCTGTGGTGAGAATGATGTATGTTTAGTCTGCATTGCAACATTGATTGGGCTCGTCATTAGTATTCTAGCCTTCTGCTTCGCTATCTTGTACTACGTGAAAGAGGTCAGTCCCGGTCAGGTCAGGACTTGTATTTAAAGTCTTCCCTGCGCTATAAAGCACCATTTTGTATGTATCGGAATGCACATTGCTTGTTGAAATTCCACTTGCACTGCATTGTCCATTCAGTCCTTTTTATGACATTGCGGATCCTCGGTTATTATGTACATCTCCCAACTAGGCATGTAACACATACGCCCTCATGAGGAATCTCGGGTTTCGGCTCCACTTGATGCACAACGAAAACAACTGATTACGAGGCTGTACGCATGTCTCCATCCTCCTCGTACGCGTTCCTTCATCCAAAATTTTTCGAGATATGGAGGATACCTCACTGGGACCTGTCCAGGGCGGAAAACCCAATCGGGGGTCTCGTCTCACTAGCAGTTTGAGTTCCTAAACGCCTGAATCTAGACGTGTTTGTGGAGATGTGCAGAAAAAATGGTGTTCGAGTTTCCTTATCCTCACATCTCCAGAAACACGTCCAGATTCAGGCATCGAGGAAACTCATGGGTGCTAGTCGGACGAAGCCCCAGATTTTGAGAATGAATACCAGGATCCTAAGAGTTATTCCATTGCCTCCCATCGTTGCTAAGAGTTATTTCATTGCCTCCCATCGTTGATCCTGCGCTAGCGATTTTCCCCTTTGCTCGCCATCTTCCTCACCTGGCAGTGCTGATCCTGTTTTTGTGGTCTCACCTTTTGCCCACCATCTCCTTAATAACACAAAATGTGTTCTCAATCTGGTGGACAAATGCAGAGGTGCTGTTGAGGGGTTTGATTGCAGGTAATGATGGGGGCAATGGGGGAAGGGCTGCGGAGGTGACGAGGGAAAGCGAAAGGAAAGGAGGGCAGGGGGGTGGGGTGCGGGGGGAAGGGGGCCAGAAATAGTGTGTTTGGTTGGTTTAGGGTCTGGTAAGGGGAAATATTGAGGGGCAGGGAGAGGGAAGAGGAAGGCAAGGGTTGGGGGGAAAGAGTGCTATGTGAATGGGAGGGCGGGAAGGGGAAGAAAGTCTTGTCGCTTGAATTGGTTTCTGAACCCAGACAGTTATGGAATGGGTGGGAATAGCAAGGGAGGGGGGGTAAAGGTCTGCAGGAGGCGATGTGGGTGGTTGGTTCCTGACATGAAGCACTGGCACATCGTTTACATGCAGTTTCCATCATGTCTCCTCACCCACTCGCTGATCAATTCCCAAGAGTTGAAGCGAAGGATTTGCCCAGTGGTAAGACGGAGGTAACGGGTTCCTAGACAGTCTACATGAGCTCTTCTTCTTCTCTCACTGCTCGACAGGTTTATGTTCTCGGCCCATTCGCCCCAACTTGATTCGTCTGCACTTCGCCCGAGCTTAGTTCTTCCGCACCGAATGTATCTACTGCCCACAGTTTACTGAACAGCTCTGTTTGACGATATATGATGCAATGCCATTGAATTGATTGCATTTGAATTTTCAATTCATCTGGTGCAGCTACGTAATAGCTCTATCCCCCCCCTTTGTCCAGGGTTTTGTCAATTGTCTGTCTGGTGGAAGTTGATACTTCGTACGGTTGCTGGAGGTTGATTCTCCCCGCTTTGTTCAGCACTGTAACGTCTCAAAACCTTTGATAATCTGGTGAAAGTTGATATACGATTGCTGGAGGTTAATTCTCCGGCTGCCCGTTGATCCACTAATTTCTGTTGTGCCTTGCCTTCTTGCCATAAGTTGTAGTGGATAGCCTTTTGTCGATTGTCTGTCTGAATGAGCACTACGTTACAGTATGCTTAAGTGGTTCAACGTTGTCATCGGCGATGTTGTGTGGTGCTTGGCCGTTTCCTCAGCATGTCGCTATTGCTTGCGAAAACATTGTCAATAGCATGTGACTGTTTTGGTTGCTGTGGTGCGAAGTAGCTGCTGGTTGTGACTCAGTTGCAGATTGTTCATGTGCGTATGTTGGTAATCTTTATTATCACTTGTGGACTGCTGGGCGGATACGTCTTCATGCTGTTTGGTGTGTTAAAGGTAAAATGTCGCTGTTCGTGCTGGTGGTCGAGTACATGTGCATGCTTTTCGACAAGTGGTCATGTTGCTGGGTAGCGTTTGTGTAGTGGTTGGCACATGAATGTACATGAATTCATTGGTGGTGGTGTTGTGCTTCGATGCGGATTGTCGATTGTCAAGTGACAGTGGGTATAAGCTGGATTAAGTGCAATATATGCGCTTTTCTGATGCTAATGCCAGGCATGGAATGATCAAATATGCTTCGCAAGACATATATGCGCGTTTCTTCAGCGGTGTATTGCTGATGTGATATGTCATGGAAGGTGTAAAAGCAACATGTTGCATGCTTCTCTATTAAGCAAATCAAATATTATACTACCACAGTACCACTACTTCGCTCTCAGTATGCTTGCTTGGGGAAATATTTGTGGAATTATTATCACTACATATGTGAAAAATCGCTAATTTGCGGGTGGGTACCAAATCCAGACCATGACCAAATCATTGCGGCCGTCCGTACTGTGATACGCGGCAGTTGTGATTGCGAGTTCATGTCTAAAGAACCATGAAAACGTGATCTAGACAATCATGTTTTGGGCATCACATGGTGCATAGGGAGCAACTGTTCGCAAAATCCGGCGACCTTTGTGGCACACACGTGACGCGTGCACTTTTATTTATGCATGGCCCAATTTCAGCGGCCTTTCTTTGGGCGGCCCAGAAAAAAAATTTGCCAACGTCATTTTTGTCCTAGAAGTGCCCTTCAGTGACAGTGCCCGAATAGAAAACAGCCAAAAAAGGCTGTTCAGCGATGGCCCAAAAGACAGAGTTAAAAAAAACGTTGACTGTCCTCTCATTGGCAGAAGTTGTTTGCAGTCGCTTTTCGCTGCGGTGAATTTTGCCAACGTGCTCAAACCTCCCCGCATGCTTGATATCAGCATTACTTGAACACACACACACACACATACACAATCTCAGACCTTTCACACACCAACAGAGATGGACAGACACTCGAACTCTTCACACACGAGCATATACATACTCTTGATGCTCACTCGATGGGGCCTTCCCCCATGGACTGGGAGGAGGCACACACACACACACACACACACCTGTCTCTTATACACATCTAGATGTGTATAAGAGACAGGGCTACCATCAAATCTCGATACGCCCCGCAAGA